GAGCTAATTCGGTGCACTGTCGGAGCATATGTTCTAATAAAGCTATTTCCGCACAATGTGGACAAAGATTACTTGGGTATAGGTCAGGGTACATGATGTGTAACATTTTCAAAGTAGGGTACATCCGCGTTTGTAAAAGCCTTAATGTAAGTGCTTGGGGTCGAGTTGAATTTTTGTGAGGTGGAGGGAAAATCCTTCTAGACAGGTAGAAATGCTTAGTGAGCTCGTTATATGTTGTAAGAATTTCCCGCTTATCCTCTTCAGTGGTAGAACGCATCCCCAGGAAGGCGCCATAGGAGAGGTCTCGTGCCGCCTCGTGTGTTGCTTCATTGAGATTGGGAGGGGAATCGTTACTTTGTCCAAGGTGAGCTGGGAACCAACTCAGAAGATGATGCTTTATATTCTTGCCTTGCAGTATTCGCAGCGTTTGTTCAGAGACCGTCCCCTTGGCGAACGCCCGTAGTGCTGCCATGGAATCACTGTAGACGACTTCAATGTTATCCATCTTGAGTGCTAAAGTGATGGCCACCTGTTCCGCAATGATTGGGTCTTTCGTCCTGACCGTCGCTGATGTTGACGACACGGCCAGCCCCACCGACCACCACTGCCACAAACGCTTTCCCATTGACGTAGGAAGCCGCATCAACAAATACGACCCCTCGTTCCGCGTTTGAGGCTTGACGAAGTATAGTCCTGGCCCTCACTACTCTTCTTCCGAGGTTGTGTTCTGGATGCATGTTTCTTGGTATAGGAGATACCGTGATACTCTCCCTGATGTTGTCGGGGATATCATTGTAATTGCGTCTGATTGCCATTAGGTGTTGGCCCAGCTCCTGCAGGATCATTCTCCCTGACCTTGTTGTAGATAACCTTGCAAACTGTGCTCTCACTTGGGCTTCTGCTATTTCTTTGAGGGTGTTGTGAATGCCAAGCTCAAGCAGACGCTCCGTTCTGGTATGTATGGGTAGGCCCAGGACCTTCTTGGTAACTTTCCTGAGGAGCAAATTCAGTGTCTCGGACTCTGCTCTTGACCAGTTGTGCATTGCTGCCTCGTATGTGAAGTGGCTTAGAACAAACGCATGCATCAACCTGATGAGGTTGTCTTCCTTGATCCCATTTCTTTTGTTGGCCACTCTGCGTATGAGGTGCACTGCACTGTCTGTTTTCCAAGTTAACTTGGTTATAGATTTGCTGTTGGCGCCGGTAGACTCTATCAGCATGCCCAGGACTGTTGAACAGCATTGGTGAAATCACTGCCCCTTGCGGCGTGCCCCTTGCTTCTAGTTCTATTGCTGCGGTCTCGATATCTGCAATCTTCACCACGGCTTTCCGATCTGTAAGAAAGGACCATACGTAGTCATAGAAGGCTTTCCCCAGAGCAAACTTGGAAATTGCTTCGAGTATGAATGAGTGGTAGATGTTGTCGAACACTTTTTCTAGATCTAGGCACAGAATGGCTCTCACATATCTGGTTTCGTTGTCGATGACCTGGTGTTTGATAAGCTTCATTGAGTCTTGTGTGGATAGCCCTGCCCTGAATCCAACCATATTGGGTGTACAGATGTCGTTAGCGTCGAAGTACTTGTTTATACTGTGTAGTATGGCACGACATCAAATAAATGTTTTGTTCACTCTTCCACATGCAAGACTATCGTCTTTCGACCACATTTGCAGATTAACATGCAGATACAGGGCCAATTTTTTTTTCGGGGACTTTTGGCGCGCGTGCTTATCCTCACCCCTAGCAACCAGAGCCCCCAACCCTTTGACTTGAATGCAATTTGCCACCGCCTCAATGCAGTGTGTTTGAAACGCATTTGTGCTGCCAGCATTTGTTTAACTTTTTTTTTAGCCGTGCACACTACCTACTAGAGCTGGAAACGCATACCGCATTTCTCGTGACAGAAAAACGCCACATGCGGCAAACGGGGCTATTGACTGCACGGTGTAAGGAAAGAAAAAAAAACATTATTCTTCCAACGCTGGGTTGTCAGGTGCGAAACGACGTTATGGGCGCCAGGCAATGTATTCGCATTTCCTCGTGATTCCCTTTAGCGAGGTGGTGGCATTTTATTATTATTTTATTGTTTGCTTCTGTCTCAATTTTTCGGTCACGCACAAGATGATTTTTGGCTCACAACGAACGACGCCGACACCGAAATTTGTACAAAACGAGCTCTTTAAGGCTATCACGTTAAAGAAGTTGGAAATAATGCTTTACTGTTGTATATTGTCACGGAGAGAAAATGGCAGGGAGTTACGGGAAGAAAGGCAAAGAAATCTTCCGACAAAGACGGACATGTACAATGTGCAGAGCTCGGCAGGTGAAGATAGAACTTAACTTATGCAATCCGGAGATCAGTAAAGAAACAGGCACCACAACGTGACAACGATGAGCTGGTTCATATATTGACTGCTTGAACTTGACGTACCATAGCCGCGATAAGATTATAGAATACGCCGCATCAGAGGTTTGCCACCCGCAGTACTTCAACGTGCTCTTTAATTCAGATGCGCACGCCCTGGAGGATTTTGCTTCCACTGAAATGCGGCCACCACAGCTGGGATCGAATCCGCGACCTTTCAGCCTGTAGCCGAGCACCATATTCAATGGACCACCATGGCAGGTGATGGCGAGCACATTGATAATCTAGTCGATGACCAGATCTGTGGGTGAAACAGGCGTGCATTTACACATGCATCACCATCTTGCATTCACAGCAATCACGCCTGAGCTCGCGTATGTTCATGAATGTGCTCTACCACAGGCACCATGCATGTCATTAGCATAAATTATTCAGAAACCTTCTGAATGTTTTCAACGCTTTGAGGTGCAGCAATCGCCGAACTACAATGCGTATAACAGTGTTTGCTAGCTTCACCGCGACGGTCCAGTGGCTAACATACTCGGCTGCTGACCCCCGATCGCAGGATCGAATCCCGGCTGCAGTGGCTGCATTTTCCATGCAGGCGAAAATGCTACAGGACCGTGTGCTCAGATTTTATTGCACTTTAAAGAACCCCGGGTGACCAAAATTTCTGCAGCCCGCTACGACATCTCTCATAATCACATGGTGATTTTGGGGATGTTAAATCCCACATATCAACAGTTTTTGGTGGTGAAGCCCAATCCCGATGAAAAAGAAAATAAGTGCGCGTGTCTACAAGCGTCTGTTCTTAATTGAGTATTCAGGTAAGATGAAAGACGTGCGTTATAAGGCCCAAAAGGTCGACTCCTGAATCTTTTAGAAATTCATCCAAGTCTTCAGCATGGCAAATCTTTAGCTACAACCAGAAAAGAAGTTCGCAGCACGGCTATGTTGAGGCACGTTCACTGAACGTTTGCCTGCACATGCTACCATTCAATCACTGTCACCGATTTTGTGAAAGGCGTTTCCGAATTCACTAGCATTGAGGCATGCTAACATAAAATATTATAGTTATTTAAGTCCCAAAGTTTGTTGCAGATGCGTGTCGCAGAAACGTTTCTCCCGGCCTCAAAACAAAGAGAAGTGTACGCGAATTACTCCAAATTTTTTATGCAAACAATTTCGGAAGTGTCGATATCAAACTCTACCCAGACTTACATTTATTCCATGATAATCAAATTATTTCCCTTGATTACATGCATTTTACAAAAAACAGCGTGTACTCTGCAATCATGGAATGTGCTTAGTGAATATTAATAAACACCACGAGAGAAGATGCCACCTCCGTTCGTGAGCACGCATCTTGACTTTCAGCACTTTTGCTTACTGTTTTGCTTCGAACGCGATTCTTGTGTTCTGTCCTGTTGCAACTGTCTTGCTGCGAAAAGGTTGCGGTTTATATTACCTTGGCTATAGTGGCGATGCCAGGGAATGGCACTGCGAGCCTGTGTTCCCATTCAGAATTTTTTTTTTGTGATGGCATACAGAGCGAAAAAGGACCACATCAAGGGGGTGCCCCCTGCCCCCCGAAAAAATTTATGCCTACCTGCCTGTTTGGCTACACCGTTTCTAGGAGATCTGCTGCAGCAAAAAAAAAAAAAGAAATAAAAAGAAAGGTTACCAGAAAAAAATAAACAGTGAGCAGCTAAAAAACACATACAGAAACAGCTTAAGATAACACGGTATTACTTTCAGTCTGATGCAAGCAAGTGCGTGGGCTCGCAGGGACATCACACAGCTGTCGCGCTGTGTGATGCCCCTGTCCAAAACAAATATTTCCTCTCACCAACTGTGGGAGGAACGTAGCGCCAAGACAGACGTTCAGATGATGATGGGTTGATGAGTTATGTGAGACTCTGGGACAAAGTGCCTCCGAGCGTTGCGTTTTCCTATCCGACAAAGGCACTACGATGAGTGTTACTCATGGGTACCAATATTCCCCCCAAGCACACTCAACTAACTGCTCGCTCTCAACCCTGTTGAAAAACGTCTGATAGCTTGACGCCTGCCATTTATGAGTGTTGCGCATTTCACTCACGGCAGCGGCCACTGCCGGCCAGTACGGCATAAAGAAAAAGGTGGTTAACCTGGCTAACAACGCGCCCAAAAATGCAGCCTTCGACGTACTGTACACATCATGTGCCGGCTCGTTAAACCTTCCTACAGAAATGGCCTCGCCAAGAAACGCCTGGTGCCTCTCCGAAAAAGCTCCTGTAACATCATTGACTTTGTGAATATGGCAATGATTTTTTTCCTTTGCTACGCTCCGTTCATTGGCTCATTTCTCCTCCTTACCAATGTGGAAGAAGAATAGCGGCAAGTGTGCATACCTGCAAGGAAACAAACAGGTTATCTTTTTTTGTTGATGACGTGCCTTGATGTGAATGATTACATCACGGCCAATGCTCAGCATTACAGGAAAGCCCGGAGAAGAGAAGGCATTGTCTCGTGATAGTGGTCTTAACTCTATTCGAGCGTCTATTTGAAATGCTATAAATTTATCAGAAATGCTATAAATTTATCAGAAATGGTTCCGGGGCCCTTATGGCTGTGAAAACAAACCAATAATGACATTTTTAAAATAAATGCTATAATGCAACAAACCTTGTTTTCTTAAAATCCTTTTTTTTTTCTGACTTTACTATAGCATAATCACATCACAAGCAGGCGCCAAAGATACAAGCATTCACGTTGTAACGACGGTCTCAAAGACCCAGAAATTCCCTTTCCACAGCTGCGGCCATCTCTTCATCGACCGACCCAACTGAACCATTTGACCACTCATCTGTCGACCTTTCCGTGTTTGACTTATCACTGTCCTCTGGCAGTTCACCCCTCGGAAACTTTGGTGGCTGCGACGCTTCCTCGTCTTCAGTCAGACACTCGCGCCCTCTTTTCCGGCGCCGTCGTTTGCTCCATCCGCGCGGACACTCGCCCCCCGAGAGTGATTCAGCCGACGATTCGGTGTCAGAGTTATTCTTTGTTGTGCCGCCGAGTGTGCAAGAGTCCTGGCTCGACTCTTCATCTTGCGTCTTTTCTGCGCTCTCTTTGCTCTGTTCTATGTCGTTGTCATCGTCATCGCTGCACTCGTCCTCAACTTCACGGTCCATCTCCAGAAGTTGCTCTGACGACATGCTCAGGTACGGATTTGCCTTTTCGTCAAGTTGTGGGTGGTCGTTTTTGCTTGATGACGCTGTGCTGCATGAAAGGAGCAAAATTCAGTTGAATGATCTGCTATGCTTTCTAAACATAATATAAATTATGTCACGAGTCCACAAGAAATGAGCATGAAAAACACGCAAATAGAACTGAAGGTCATGCAAACATCCAAGGTATTGAATAGGAGGCATTCAGCAAAGAAGTAACCAAGCCATTCACACAATGCCACAAATTCACAAGGTACAGCTGGAAGTACATGCCACCAAGGAGTGGAACACAGGAAGCCAGTGAACCAGCCAAGAATGACCGACAAGAACACACCCTAGTTGTAGCTCAATTGGTGGAATGAAAGGCTGCTCACAAACCCCATGCCTAAAAAAACTCCCAAGCATTTCCCCGAGGGTGAACATGATTAAGTGCGAATACACGGGGTGATGCTATGAGGGGTATTTATTAATTCGCACTATTATATTTATTAATCACACTATGGTGCCTTTATGGTGTAATGGTTCCTGGGAATCGCAATTTGATCACACGGGGGAGTTTACGTTAACTCACTGGCGAATAACAACGGATTTTAACTTTACTCCCCCTCACAACCCGCTCTCGACGGGAGACTGAGAGAGAAGGCGGGCGCGCGAGAGAGAAAGATGCGCGCGCAGCTGTAGCGAGCAAGGAGAGCGGAGGAGCGAGCGAAGGGGGAGGGGGTATAAGGCGCGTTACTGACACCGATATCAGCGTCGCGTCCGTGGCTTATTCGGTAGAGCGTCGCGCTGCGGCCCGCCAAGTCCTCTTTCTTTTAAAGATAGAGAGAAGACTGCGGACGCCGCCGACGGCGGTGGATGGTTTGGGGTCGCTTATAAAGTGTATTCACACTTAAAAGACGCTTCACAAATGCGTATCTCCAAGGTAGAGCCGGCTGCGACCACGGGCTTCGAGCTCTAGCGGCCACTATTCTTGCGCTCACAACACCACCCGTCCTGTCCAGTTACGGCTGCCACGCTCACTTGCTCCTTCCCAAATCACCATCCTGCTCATCCCTTATATCATGGCAGCTGTTCAACAAGTGAACACCACTCGCGCCACTAAGTGTCGCAGGTCCTCTGCATCGTGTCAGTCGACTTCAACAACCTCCCGCTGAGAGTGCTTGCGTCACCACTTCTAGTCCTCGTTTTCGTCCTGTCCTTTCATTACTGTAGACACTCACTGAACGCTCGTGCACTGTCACATCAATACATTGAGGCTTCTCGGCGCCCGCTTCCCACGACACCGAACTCTGCAAGTACAGCAAGCTGCTTTCTTTTCCAAGCAAAGTGGCGCACCCTTGGACAAGGTCCTGCGATCCCACTGCAAACAATGCAACAGCAATCTGCAATTCAGCCCACTCAGGTTGATGACCCCAATCAGTACTGTGCAGTAGGCTTAATGTAGTGCTACACAGGGATGCAACAGCCGGAATATATCTGGAGCAACTTTTGGAGCACTAAAACACAAATTTAGAGCAGGTTACAGGAAAAGAGACATCCTTTTTATTATCATGAGAGATCAAATATGAGGCAGTATAAAAAGGAAGGCTTAAATTTAGAAAAAAAAATAACAATATGTACAAACCATTTCACCTCACCTAAATTGTGCAGAGTGAACATGAGCACTGCTTTTTCAATAAAAGTAGTGTTTTAAACCACTCTACTTAGCAAACAATGATGAAGTACGCATTAGCATTTGCCATGTCTCTCAAATCCTTTGACAGACTGTGAATTCAAATGTGCCTCTGCCAAGCTACGAACCAGAAAATTTGGGAGAATCGATTTGATTGATACGTGGGGTTTAACGTCCCAAAACCACAATATGATTATGAGAGACACCGTAGTGGAAGGCTCCGGAAATTTTGACCACCTGGGGTTCTTTAACGTGTGCCAAATCTGAGTGCACAGACATACAGCATTTTCGCCTCCATTGAAAATGCAGCCGCCACAGCCGGGATTCGATCCCGCGACCTGCGGGTCAGCAGCCGAGTACCTTAGCCACTAGACCACCGCGGCGGGGTTTCGGGAGAATCGTAAGACCAAGCAGTAGGGGTGGCGAAAAAAAAAACTACTGGAAGACAATTAAATTTTAGGGCCGCAGAAATGTCGTTCATTGCTCAAAATTATTGCTAGTATGAGCATTATTCATACACGTCATCTTATCATATGTACATACTCATCATCATCAGTCTGACCTGTGTTGTGGGGCAGAGGCTCGGCAAGTAAAAGAAGTGTCTTGCAGCCAAAACGTTGCCTTACAAGTCGTGCAGAGTGCTTTCCGGTCCCCTGGTCCTCTCCCTGCAGCGCTTTTTCGTTATCTTCGACTACGAACCATGCCTGGAGCTCCGGTCGGGTCGCAGGCTGCGCAGTCAGCCTATGGTCATGTCGCAAGACGAGAACAGCAACACGGCTCCATCCACCCCGCCTGCACCCCTGGGCATGCCTTCTTGGACTGTCACCGCCCCTCAAAAAGATCCACCTATGTTCGCCGGCCTTCGCGGTGAAGACGTTGAAGACTGGTTGGATGAGTACGACCGTGTGAGTGCGCTTAACAATTGGCCTGATTCTGTGAAGCTGTGCCGCATACCATTCTATCTGACAGGTGTCGCTAAGACATAATTTTTCAACCATCAGCTGGATTTCCCAGACTGGCCTACCTTTAGGCAACAGCTCCGTCAGATATTTGCCAACCCTTCTGTACGTGCAGACATCGCCAAACGGAAGATTGCTCAACGTGTCCAGCACTCCAGCGAGTCCTATACTTTGTACATTGAAGATGTCCTTGCCCTATGCCGTCGCATCGAGAGCTCGATGACGGAGCATGAACGCGTTCGCCACTTGCTCAAGGGCATAGGCGCCGTCGCATTTAACGCTCTGGCGGCAAAGAATCCGACCACGGTCGCCAATATCAATACGTGTCAGTGACTCGATGACCTTCAACTAATACGTTTACAACCTGAAACAGCAGATATCAGGCCAACGCATGACGGTGAGCTCCGTGTGCTGATACGGTCCATGATCCGCGAGGAGCTGAAACTGCAGGCCACCTCGTCATCTTGTCAGCTACGCATGACGCCTTCTGCAGGCAGCCTCCACAACATTGTGAGGGAGGAACTAGCGTCCATGACATGTGAGCAAGTCCCGAGCTCGCACACCACTCCAAAGCCGACGTACGTTCAGGTGGTTGCAGCGTCACCTCCTCAGCAATCACCGCAGTATGGGTCAACTATGCAGCTTACACTGAATGTCCTCGCCCCAAGAGCAATGCCTCCTTTTTTTCAAGCCTGGCTTTCCATCTAGACCAATTTGCTATTATTGCGGAATATGCGGCCACATCTCACGATTCCGTCGTCGACGTCAAAAAGACGAAAGGCGTGGCTATGGTGACTTCGAGAGGGATGAGTATGCCCCTGCTCCACAACATCGCCACTCATACCAACTGTACCAGCGCCGCTCACCCTCTCCACAGCACTACGATGCAGCCAAAACCTTCCGCTCCTTGCGCCGTCGCTCCCCGTCACGTATGCGCCGTTCCTCGTCACCACTTCATCCGGCTACCACGGCGTCTGATCATCGCCCGGAAAACTAAACAGTGCAGCTTCAGGAGGGAAAGCTGCATTTTGCGGACTGCATCGAACTCCTCCGGAACGCCCCTCAAATGTACTTTCAGTTTGTGTTGAGGGTATATGGACTGAAGCCTTGGTGGACACAGGTGCATCACTCTCAGTTATTAGTGTGGACTTGTGTTCTCGTTTGCGCAAAGTGAAGACACTGTATGATGGCCCTCCCCTTCGCTGTGCTAATACGGTTTTTGTTCAGCCTTCTGGTGTTTGCACAGCACGAGTTTTTATTGAGGGCATCCTTCACCATATACAGTTCCTTGTTCTGTCATCGTGTACCAATGTGCTCATTTTAGGATGGGACTTTCTCTCCTCAGCTTTAGCCGTGATATCTTGTCGTCAGAGGGTCATTCGCATGTCAGATACTGCGCTTTCGTCTGATAACTATGCTCATAGCCAGCGTTTCGTCACCGCTGATGACTGTTTTATTCCTCCAGGTAATGAGCATATTGTGACCCTGACATCAGATAAGATCGGTACTGGTGATGTGTTCCTAGCACCGTGTGGACGTTAGATCTCTGGTGGACTTACCATCGCTCCTAGCCTGGTGCACTTTCGTGATGGCAGAGCATTAGTTACGGCAGTTAATCCCACTTCATTGCCTGTTGCACTGCCCCAGGGCACCAGTGTGGTTTGCTTCACAGATACTGAACCACTTTCTCTGGTGCCCCTTCACGTAGTCTCGCCATCTTTCTCTACGAGTACTGATGACCATGCTACAACGGCTGCTTTAACAGCCACAATAAATCCCGATCTCACATCAGCGCAAAAGCAAGAACTTTTGCGTATGCTTCAAAAACACAGCGCTTAATTTGATGTATATTCCAAGCTTCTGGGTCGCACTTCTGTCACCGTGCATCGAATTCAAATGGAAGGCAATACAATCGTACGCCGCCGCCCATATCAAGTGTCATCAGAAGAGCGGAAAATCATCGAGGACAACGTTGCTGATATGCTCAAACGAGATGTTATCCGGCCTTCGTCCAGCTCGTGGTCATCACCTGTAGTGCTAGCCCGAAAAAAGGATGATTCGGTGCGATTCTGCGTCGATTATCGAGCACTTAATAAGATCACGCGCAAAGACGTCTACCCAACGCCACGAGTCAACGACGCACTTGACTCTCTGCAAGGCGCTCAATTTTTCTCCAGCCTTGATTTACGGTCTGGTTATTAACAAACACCTATGCACGAAGCGGACAAAGAAAAAACTGCCTTTGCAACACCAGACAGGCTGTACGAATTCAACGTCTTGCCATTCGGTTTATGTAATGCTCCTGCCACGTTTGAACGCGTAATGGACACAGTTCTACGCAACCTAAAATGGAAAACATGTCTCTGTTATCTAGATGACATCGTCATTTTCTCCTCTTCTTTTTGTCAGCATCTTGATCGT